TTCACCTTCAGCTCCTTTGCTTGGTGCGAAGTGCTGTCACTCGCTATCTTCACCACTCGTGGCTGTCTCCCCTCTGCCCACTGTCTGCCCGCTGCGTACACTGCGGTGTTGCGCTTTCGAGGTCGAACTCTTCCGTCTCCACCGCGACTTCCCCCGCCTCCTCGTCCGGTCTTGTAATACTCGTTGTAGAAAGTCCGCGTCGTTGAGTAGAGGCGCTACTGTGCCGGCGCTGCTTTCCCCCGGCTCTGTATTCCCTCTCGGTGCCTGCATGTGCCAGGCTGTTCTGAGCTGGTCTTCCGTGAGGTCGCCAAATGCAGCATCGACAGCGTCGTCGTCTGGCCATTGTGGTCTTGACGTCCCCCCAGTCCGTAGGTCGTCTTCTGCTGACTGAAGCTCTGGTGTGTGAGGGGCTGCAGTGCCATCAGCTTGGCCTCCCCCACCGTCCAGGTCGCTCTCTGCTCCCGTCCAGTCTGGTACATCTGTATGTGTGGCTTCTTCTTCTTCCCTTGGTGGCAGAGGAGGTGTGACTGGGGCTTGTTCCCCCATGTCTGCAGCTTCACGAGGATGGAGATCCCCCGCAGTCACTTCCTCTCCCGCCTGACCTTCAGTGGGCGTCTGGTCAAATGCCCCCACTAGAGTCTTCCACTTTGCAGCGTCCACACGTAGTTCTTCACGGTGTCGAAGTTGCAACCCCGTCCAGAGACCTCCCACCTGAGACTCTCCATGACATGGCTGAGCGTTCTTCTTCCCCCGTACAATTTTGCAGTCATAATGCAATTGTACGCTTGGTCCGCCAGTCGCTCCACTATCCCCCGCTGGTCTTCAAAGAGCACTCGTACACTGGAACTCGGCGCTTCTCCAAACATGTGGAACGACTTTGTGCCGCCATGGTACACCACTTCGCCTTTCCACGCTTCTGCATATAGTTGTTCAACAAGCCTTCTTGTAGAGCGGCGTTGTGGGTGTGTCCCCCGCAGCGGGTCACTGTCGGTGCTGCCGCTCGTCTCGCTGGACGACGACTCTTCGTTGGAGGACATCGCAGCCATTGATGCTTCCTGCTCCCCCGACGGAGCCTCTTCCCCCCTTGAAAGGGCAGCCTTTGGTGTAGCTTGGCCTCGTTGGTGAGCTGGCTGCGGCTTTGCTTTGACTCTCCACGGTTCTTGACTCTCCCCCTCCTCCGCAGCGTCCTTTGGCGCATCTTTGCGCCTCTTTCTGGGAGGGATACCATAACATCGGCACCTTGGATCGCGGCGCTCGTGTGGGAGATGCTTGCCTTCTCCCCCCATGGCGCAAAGGCGGCAGAAGTAGGTTGGGCTCCCCTCTGCTGGAGCGCGGCTAGGAGCGGCAGTCACCGAACTCCCCGAGGCCATGGCTGCACGCTGTCCTTCTACTGCTGCTGTCTGGACGTTTTGTTCCCCCGGTCAGGAGGCTGTCGCTTTTTGCCGTGCCAACCTCTGTCTCTTGGCTGGCTGGCAAATGCTGCTGCGGTCGGAAGGTCCTGTGCATCCAGCTGGCAGCTCCTTCTGTTCACTATCTCAAAGGACAGGCAACATGGTGCTGGCAAACGGTCTGCAACATGTCTCCCTCAGTAACTCTGTTCTCTCTGTTGTGGCTTTCTGGTTCTGCTTGTTGCGTCCTGCTGTCAACTCTGTGTATCATTCGCTAGCCGCAACCGCATTCCCCCCACAGGATAAGGTGTGTCATCCCCACTGCGGTGTCTGTGAAACTTGTTTTCATGTTGTGGTGGTGGTGGTGGTGGTGGTGGTGGCGGGTAACGCTGTCTGTTCACAAAGCCGCCTCTCCCCCCTTGTTGTGTTGGGTGTGAGGTTGGTGATGCTGCTTTGTTTTCCAGTTGACCAAGAGACGTCAAATTTGGCAACGAATTCCCCTTCCAACGCTGCCCAGATCTTGTAGTTGCTTGCTGTGCCGTGCCACTGTTCTCCTGCCACTTTGGCTACTCCCCACCATGCCAGATTTTTCCAGCTGAGCATCGGCCGTCCCCCCAATTCGGCTCTGGACATGTGCCCATGGATGTCCCATACCCGTTGGAGGATATAGGTGCTCCATCTCAGGGTTTTTGATTTGTGGAGGGCTACTCTTGCACCCCTCAGTGTCCTCATGTTCCAGTCTTCCCACAAGCCTCTCCTGGTCTGCGGCCCGGGTGCATCATTTGGCGCAGTTGCGCCAATTGTGTACTGTTGGCTGCTTTGAGTATTGAGTCAGTGACGTACCAAGACTCGCAACCCCACAATGCTCCCCCCCTCACCAGTGTTTGCTGTAGCTTGATTCTCCCTTCCAGTGAAGTAGGTGCGCACAGTAGCTTGGCATGTTTGTGGAATGCGCGTCTCCCCCTGTGTTGCATTTCGGAGATAATTGCCGCAACCTCTTCTCCAAATGTGATTGGGGATCCAAGCGCAGTGATGACTTCCCCGAAGGGCTTGCAACCTACTTGCTCCCCACCGATGCGGAAACTTCCCCCCCCTGTCTTGAGGCTGTATATAATCGCTGTTTTGCCTGGGTTGATGGTGAGGCCACGTCTCCGCAGTCTGGTCTCAAGCTCTGCTAGTGACTTTTGCAAGTGGGCTGCATCATGACTCCAGAGGTAAGTATCATCCATAAAGGATCCCCCAGATTGCGGGGGCGGCGGGCCTTGTGCTGGCGGCAGGAGGTGTTGTGTTGTTTGTAGTGCTCCTTGGAGGCTGTCGGCAACCACTCTGCCAGAAAGCGATGGACTGTCTGGGCTGCCTTGTCTAACGCCATTGGTCTGTGGAATCTCTGTCAAAACATCCCCCATTGAAATGCGTACCTCTCGCACTTCTAAGAGGCTTAGCCACGCTCTGGCCTCCCATGGCATTCCATTGGGCATGCTCCCCCCACCACGTTTCAAGCCCCCCACTTTCTCGGCAACCACATCTCCCATGCTTTCTTGGCACACGCTATCAAACGCCTTGCGTACGTCCAATTTGACAATCCAGGTAGGGATCCCCCAGTCTTTTGCATGGCGTACGACACGTCTCAGCACGACCAAGAGTTCAGGTGCTTGTTTGCCGGTCCTCCCCACTGAAGTGGTGCTCCTTCTTGAATCCTTCTCCCCCCACGTAGAAGCAGGAGTTGTGAGAACCATTTCAAAATGGAAGAACTCAGCGTTATAGGGCGCGTGTCTCCCCACGATGACGGGTCCCCCGCTATTTTCGGGAGGAGCACAGTCACTCCGCTGAGGACAGACTGTGGTATTTCTCCTCGGTATAGGAAGTCGTTCATCATGTAGAGGATTCGATTTTCCCACGCTGGTTGCTTCATGAAGAGGTGCAGGAGTTCGTGTGTTATGGCGTCCGGTCCCGCTGCTTTCCCGTTTTTCCATGTCCTGGTGGCCAGCTGGAGTTCCCATTTGGTAAAGGGGGTCCATTCTGTTTGCTTGCAAAGGCAGGTCAACGCCTTGCGTGTGTCCCCCAGGCGCCTGGCTGTACGTTCCGCCGGCTCTTTTGCAAAGATGCCCTGAAAGTGGTCGTTGAGGTGTGCCTGCCACTGTGGGTCATCCAGCAGGCGGTGCTCCCACCCTTTGCGATGGTGGTGGTAGTCAAGTGCCCTCTTCGCCCCCCAGTTGGCTGCACTGGCTTGGTCCACCAATCGCTTATGCCAGGCTCGCAATTCGGTCTGCCGCAACTTGGTGACCTGTTTCCACGCTTCCCTTGCTTGATGTGGCGGTGCCGCCCTTGCCTGTCTGCGCAAGTGCTTGAGTGCTGCACTTTCTTGGTATTTGTTGGTGTGTCGCCCAGGGACTGTTATTTGCTGCGCGATCCGGGAAAGCGCCTGGTGGGTGTCTGTCTGCGTAGGTGGTGTGGCTGTTGCTGCCGCCGGGTCTGCTTTTTGTATGTATCTCCTCGCCCCCCAAGTCGGTTGCTTCTTTTTTGGCGGCGCTCCTCTCTGTACGTCCACCCAAACCAGGTCGTGGTCTGACTTTGCAAGATGTCGGCTGCCCACCTGAACCCCCCCTTGCGTGCTGTGCACTCCTCTGGTAACCACGTAGTCCAGGCGTCTTGTTCTTTGGGCTGGATTGTACGGGTGGTAGGTATAGGTGCTGGTAGGTCTTGCGGAGGCGTGCTCATTCCTCTGTGATGGAGTTCAGAGAGGACGACTTCCCCTCTTCCTGTATGCGACCTCCATCCCTCCCCGTCCATGTCCGTGACAGTCTCGTTGGCGTCATATCCAGCCACCACCCTTGTTTTGCACAGCTTGTGGCTCCATCCCCCCATGTAGGCTTGTGTTTGTGGGATGGTAGCGTGGTGGGGGATGTGCCCTGACAGGAAGCGAATGCCCCTTGTTCCAGTGTGGTTGGTGAGTGTGGTTGCGATGCCTACCGGCAGTAGGCTGGTGCTGCTGTGTTTGAGTTGGCTTGTTTTGTATGCAATGCCTGTCCCCCTCCAGTCTCCCTCATTCTTTCCAAAGGCTATAACCCAGCCGTTGTGCTCGTGAAACCATGTCCCCACTTCTGCGACGATCTCTTGCAGCAAAAGGACTTGTATCGCCTCAAGGTTCGCGTCCCCCACGAAGTGGTGGGAGAGCTCCAGCATCTTTTCTGCCGTGAGTCCCCCCACATTCCATGAGGCCACTCGGAGTCGTTGAGGAGTATCCCCTCGTTCTGTACGGTGAAACTTGCCGTTGAGGTGGTCTTTGGCTCACAGGAGCTCCGCTGTGCGGGGTTCCCAGGCCGCTTCCACTTCCTGCTTGGTTCTCCTCATAGCTTTCGCCAACGTAGTCAGGTCGATCCATCCCGCCCCCACAGATTCCGCCCCCCTGGGTTTTTCTGCTGTAGCGCTGCACACTTTGAGCGTGTCCATCCAAACGGTGCCAGTGGCGAACTCAACCTCCATGCTCCCCTTGTCGCCACCCATTTGCGCGCTTCACTTCTCCAGCAAGCTTTGCTCTGCGGCGGCGCTCAGGGCTCTGAGAGAGCGCGATCCAAAGCTTCTTCATCCCCCCTTGTGAGTCCTTCCCTGTCGTTATGTTTGCGTTGCGGACTCGTTGAACTGCTTGTTGTACTCGGCTGCGTCGCTCTTCTTCTGTCTCCATCCCCCGTTGTCTGATAGGGATAATTGCATATCCCCGGCGTAAGCCGGGAACAAACATGTCCCCCACGTCAAGCGGCACCTCAAGTCGTCGTAGTAGGTCTTTTGCGGCTTGTAGTGTCTCCTCAGCAGCCTGATCTGGATGCCATCCTCCAAGGATGAGCGCCGGTTGTTTCCCTCCCCCTTCTGTGTCCGCTGTGCTCCCCGCCGTCGAGGTTTGAGGCCTTTGCTGCAGCTGTTCAAGGCGCTGCTGAATGGCTTTCTGCTCTGCTTGCACCTGCCCAATGGCCTTCGCCTGCTCGTCGTAGTTGTCGGTAATCTTGGTAAGCATCCCCATGGTTCTTTCCATTTATATTGTGACCCCCTTCTCCACGCTGTCCACACGGCTTCTCATGTCACGGAAGTCCCCCTGCATCCGCTCCAAATTTTCAGCAAGGTGGTGGCGATCAGCTTGTCTTTCTGCCGCAAGGACTTCCTTGAGCATAGACAGGGTGAGCGGCTGTTCCTGTACTCTCCCCCGCTTTTGTGGAGATCCATCTTTGCCTTCTTCTGCCTGGGCATCTTCCTCCATGCGTTCTGTGGCTTGTTGTTGTCCAAGCGCCATGGTTGAGGATTTAGTTCTTGGTGTCGCCGAGAAAGTATCACGAACAGGCAAGTGTGCGAGTCCCCCACCCAGCGGCGATGGTGCGGCAGATCACTGAGGGCACGTTGTAGGCCTGTAGGTTCGCCGATCCCCCGCTGGAAGAGGAGCGACAAAGTCCCGAATGAACCGCGCAAGGATCACCTGCTGTTTTGTCCCCGACTATCTCGCGGTACCGAACGGCGCCGATGGAGACGTGTAGAGCAGCAAGGAAGTAGATGAGGTCGCAGAATCCCGATGTGAGGAGTCTGTCACTTTCCCTCCCCCTCTCGCTCTGACCCCGAGTTGGAGGCTCCCTGACTTTCTTGGCTCAGCCTTGAACCACTCACGGCCTTGAGCCAAAATGGCTTGAGCCAAAATGGCTACGCCTCTGTCTCTCTCTCTCTCTCTCTCTCTCTTTCTTTCGCATGGGCTACGTGTATGATGCAGGGGCTTTACCCGCTACATCGCGCGCATGTGCGCCCCCGACGGGCGTCTCTCTCTCTCTCTCTCTCTCTCTCTCTCTCTCTCTTTCTTTCCCCAGGCCTTCTCTCTCTCTCTCTCTCTCTCTCTCTCTCTCTCTCTCTCGCATGCATGCGGACAAGGGAAGTGCACGCACTCTTTCTCTTTCTCTCTTTCTTTCTGCTGGGCTTGGGGGTCACGTCGTGACCCTCAGGCCATCGGCCCGCCCAACTCTTGCTTGCACGCCCCGCCCAACTCTCTCTCTCTCTCTCTCTCTCTCTCTCTGACCGGCACGCTTACCTTCCGAGCCTACGCAGCTCGCTGACGCTCTCTCTCCGCTTCGTCTTCTGTTCTTGCTCTGTCGTGCTCGAGCTTCAACTGCATACACAGGTCAAGGGCTCGAGCAGAAGGATGCAATCAAACAAAGGATTGCTTGAAGAAAGCCAAGTCACAAAGACAGACACAGGCCCAAGAGCAAGAATGGAACAGCTAGCGACATGCCTCAGAAGTCGAGAACTCGGGATGTCCGACCCGAGCAGCTATTTAGGGCATGGCGCTCACTCGCAGTGTCAAGCACGGGCCAGTTGGACAGCTTTCCGATGCAAAGGCTGTGAAGTAGCCGTCGTGGCCTGCTTGGCTTGCAAGTTGCAAGTTAGTCGTGACCCAGAAACTGCCCGCTCACGTGACAAATCCGATGAGACGTATGAATAGTCATCGTCTTTGTACGATGAGAAGCCGCAGTAAGCTCTCATGGCACTCCGAGGCCGTCACCCCAAGGTTCCGAGGCGACGATCAAGCCCAGAAACTCGCCAAAGCTCCAGATGAGGGCAGCAACCTTTCCACCATGTGCCGTCTCCTTGAAGCCCCTTCCTGCACAGACCACCTTCGAACCCAAGCTGTAAACTGAGCCCACCAAGAGACCGCCAGTACATGGCAAAGTCGAGCGGAGCTCACAACCACCTGAGCTTCAGGTTCTGTGATCCTAGCGCATATGACCTGCAGATGCTGTCATGAAAGCCTCCGTGCAGCAGAACAGCAGCACCAACCTGAGCAGTGTAGGATTGTTTCGACTGTATTTAGTGCGAACAAATACGGCAGAGAAAGAGCCTTTCGTAAGCTCTGCTGTCCAGGCTTCGATACACAATTGGGTACCATAGCTTTCCTCATCTAATTTCTAGAAGTTCAGTGATCCCCTGCGCCAAGAGGCTTCACGGCTGCACCAGAAAGGCCCAGTGCTACTGCAGAGAGCATCAATGAATTCCGCACCTTCAGACGCATGCACCATCTCAGAAGAATGACCCGTTTGCCTGTCGAGATAATATGTCTTTCGCTCTTGTTCCGACTACACATGATGCACGGCTTAACTAAGTTCTGCCTGGACACCAGCGTGGCATCGTCACTAGGAGACCCAACCGTCGGCAGAAGCATGGTCACAAAGAGGGAAACCACGAAAGCTGCACCAACCAGCCCTGGCGCTGGAGATGGCTTGAGAAAGCTCGGGTGGCAAGGAAAAGTCCAACCACGAGAATAAGCTTGTGAGAAAATCAGCCAACGATGCGTCGAGCTGGCCCGCAGTTATCGCTGCTGGCTGCCTGGGGTCGCTGAGCGTTTACTTGGCGCTGGGCTTTGGCACTCCCCACCTTGGCCAGGAGCACTCCGAGGGAGGGCAGGATGCTGAAGCTGGCAATTGGCAAGGCCATGGACGTCCAGCTGAGCAGGGGAAGACCAGAAGCATCTGCAAGAGTGCCACTGCTTCGGCTTTCTCCGCAAAGCCTGAACGAAGACGTCCGGCTTGCATGCTGCTCAAACATCGCGATGACCATTGCAACGGGTAGCAAACCTGCAGACATATTGCAGCTGCAAGCCATACCACGTGCTGCAAGCAACGCGCTCGCGAAACAAGCCACACTGCATGACCAAGGAGATCTCCTCCAGCTGTGTGTGCAGCGGCCACAGTTTGGAGGCAGGCACGGCTTCTGCATGCAGTGTCCTGGTGCCAGTGGCAGCCGTGGCAGCAGATGAAGTCTGCAAGGACGCTGCACTCTCGAGTCTCTTCTCCGAGGGCGCCGCGCAACATCCTTCCTCATCGGAGAAAAAATCCTTGGACAGCACAGTCTCTGGCTTTGACCGTCCCAGATAACAATCTCATGCATGCAATCGGCCGTCTTCACACGAGTGGACAGCCTGGTGCAACTGTAACCAAGGCATGTGCTTTGTGGGGGAATATCACTTCAGTCGCTCACGAAACGGTCCGTCTGCGACAATGTAGCGAGTATGTACTGCCGCAAGCCTCCTGGTTCAACATCACCAGCCTGTTGTGTGTTCTGTGCTGTCAGACACCCAGACTGCGAAGGGCTGCTTTGCGCTCTAGACTTCGTCGCACCTGTACGAACTGAAGGATCTAATGAAAAAACCCAAATCTCCAAAGGAAAACGAGCAAAGACTCCAAGACTCCAAGTCCGATTGCGGCCGCGCAAATGCGGCGGGCGGCAGGCGAGGCTGCGAGGCCATGCCGGGGCCCGGGGCGCTTCTAAGAAGCGCTTCTTAGGTGCCTAAGAGTCTAAGCGCATCTCGCGCTCTTTCAAGCGGTCTTGGAGGTTGAGCTATCGGTTCAGAAGGGACTGCCTTATCGGTTCGGTTATAGGTTCAGTGGGTATATAAGTCATCGCAAGTCACTACTCTGCCATGTCGGAATATCGCGGGGATAAACGCGTGTGCACGCCTTCAAATTCAGCGTCTGGGAGCTGACCTGATCATCCTGCTCGAAGCACGTCG